CTGGGTGCTGAAAGTGTCCCATATGGGCTCAGAGACACTGAGCAGAGCTTGGTTGGGAAAGAACTGAGTAAGAGACTGGTTGGCAATAAAATTAAAAGGATGGTTGGCAATAAAATTAAAAGGATGGGTTGAGACTAAGTCTGATGCTAGAGTTGACTGCAGGTAGATCCTGAATGTAATGAGGGTCCATCAAGAGTTCAAAGCAGGCTAAGACATGAAAATCAATGGGCCAGGAGTCCTCTGTCAGTCAAAAGGAAAGATCATTATTCAGTGACCTAGTTTGATGGCTATCGAATGCTCTTTAAAACTCAGAATGTAGCAATGGTATGTATAATGTGTAGCACTCTGTGTTATGTTTTGTGCTAATTTCTGGTACATTTGCAAGAAAACACTTGAGGAAGAACCTGAAATACCTAAAGATTTTTTCTTTATAAAAGCTAGATGGCAGGTCAAGGATGACTAGTGTGGTAACTAGTTCACAACTGTATAAAAGCAAACCAATGATTAAGAAAGAGGGCCCAAAGATGAAATGAGACAAGGAGGAATCTTAACTACCTCAAGGGAAGCAGTGAACTTGGTTCCCACTGTGGTTCAATTTCTTCCTTTGCTCTTACTTCAGTTGAATTGAATAATGTTAACAGGTAGTTTGCATAAAAGTATCCTGGGACAAGACAGCTCTGTGGAGTTAATCCACAGTAACCCAAGCTGGAGCTAGGCCATCAGAGATGTGGATGTTTATCCAGTGTCAGGACACCAACTGTCATGAGTGTTCTGACCAGGGCCAACATTCTCTGCTCTGTGGTTTAATGAGTGAGATCACTCAACACAGATATACATACGTTAGGTTGCCATCCCCAAATCTAACTAAGGATTCATCATCCATCACACCCTGTCGTTAGTCGCTAGTTCTCTTCAACCAAATTTAGACTAAATGCCAATCCACGAGGCACATTCTGATGATCGTACCACGATTTTGTTTCAATAGAGATTTATATTTTATTCAGTGGGGGTAAATTGTTTCCTCTTTCTGGGAACAGTGGTAAATAAGACTTACAAAGCCTGCTTGGGAATTTAACAAGGATGGTGATGCCTAGACAAGTCGACAATGTGCTCTTCTTACTTACAACATGTCAGTCTAGTTGAGTGCACACTAGGTGTTAGGACCATGTTTTTATGGATTTTCTTTGACTTTGGCCCCAATAAGTCCTTGCTTCAAGGAATAATGTTCCTGGGCAGCTTTCATTTCTGACAGAGCTCCTCTGAATGTCTTCTCTCTTGATAAAATGCTTTACTGTGGCACTTTGTAAGGACCATGGAATTACAGACACACACTGGACCGAACTGAACTAGCTTCCTTTACAGTATATCTTTTTGTGGACCTGAACCATGGATGCCACTGTTCTGTACCTCATGTTAGAATATTCTGTGTGTTTTGATTCAAGGGATTAGAAGTGAGTCTGCCATCTCTATGCTGTTATTAGAGGAGAGTAATCATGTTGTTTGTGAAAACATTTATTATTTTCTTTATAGTCCTCCCTCTCTGCCTCTGCCCTCTCACAGATGGCCTAGTATCCCAGGTGCATGTTACAACACTAGCTTGAGATTTCCAAACTGTAGACTAGTGAGTAACACGAATCTTAAAAGGTCTTAATAGAAAAACCCAGAGCCAGACATTGGGGTGAATTCTGAAAGATCAGAGAGACAGGACAAGCCACAGCCAACCTCACCTCACCAACTCCTCAGCAGATCCTGTTTCCACAAATCCTCAGACTGAAAGCCTCTGAGTCCTCACCCCTGATGGTCTCAGTTGAACTGCTTAAAAGCCTCTAGTTCCTGGTCCTCATGCCTTATATACCTTTCTGCTTCCTACCATCACTTCCTGGGATTAAAGGCATATGTCCTTCACAAGCAAAGACATGAGATCTCAAGTGCTGGAATTAAAGGTGTGTGCCATCACTGCCTGGCTCTGTTCCCAGTGTGGCCTTGAACTCATAGAGATCTAGATGGATCTCTGCCTCCCAAGTGATAGGATTAAAGGTGTGTGCGCAGAGCCTATGGTTATAAATTCTCAAGAGGCAGCTGCTTCCTTCTCCCACAGCTCCAGCATGGAGACAAGCATGTTTCCTCACTTCCCTCACTCTGTCAATCATGCCCTCAGGACACTAGTCTTCGAGGCACCTAGTCACACCATGGTGGGTGGGATCTAGACTTCCTGTTCTGGATGCTTTGTGCCTTGTGAAGCTGTAACAGAGGTTTGGCAAATCTGTAGTTTAATAGAAGCTGAAAAGTGAAACCCAACTGCACACTTAATTCCCAAGACGCCCATCTTCACTTCATTTGGGGGCTCCTTTTCATCTTGGCTTTCATGTCAGCAGGGTGATGTTTATCCATACGTTTTTTGGCACTCTTCAGGATAATTTCATTAAGAGGGACATTTGAGGTAGACATTCTATCACTTGGCCAGGTGGCCTATTGTTTCATTTCATTTTCCCACCAGCTCCACTCCGTGAGTAAGAAGAGTTAAATACAGTTATGGAAGTAAATCTAGGTCTCCTGACTCAAGGCTGTGATTTTGGTTTTGTTTTCAAACATGCCACAAGCTCTTCTGGGCAGAAGACTTGCCAGATTTCATGTTTCCATCCTACCTTGTAACATTGGTTCTATTCTACAGTTTGAGAGATTATTTTTAAGAGTTCAGGGCTTACTTATCTTAATGTACATCTTGTTCATGAGAAGCACAGCAATCAACTGGAGCTAAGCATATGGACTTTGGCTCCTAGAATGAATATTTTAAAATGTGTTCCCATGACTCACTTTACAGTAGAAATTAACCTGGGATATTACTCCCAGCTACAAACTGTTCAAACCCAGCTCCTAAGATTTTTAGTGTCTCCCATGGCTGTAAGCATACATGCATACAGCAGATCTGGTGCTTTGCAGCGAGCTGAGCCTCTATTGGAAATCAAAGGGATACATTTCACTTCCTGCTGGCTATCTGAAAGCCAACTCATTTGTTTCAAGCTGGCTTGGAAGCAATCCGAGATTGCTATGGACCATTCGCGGAAATGGTGTATTTATGTTAGACTATGTAATTAATGTCAAGAATGTCAGCTGTATATATGATTGGAATTATTTGCAATGATTTTTTTTATAATTTCATGAGCACTGTATTTACACCATTTCTATCTCTCCTTCCTTCTCCTCCATCTCCCCCCATGGCCCCCTCAGATTGATGACCTCTTTTTCTTTAATTAGTATTGTTACATATATGCATGTGTGTGCAACATATTGAGTCCATTTAGTGTTGCTTGTATTTATTTGTGTTTAGGACTGACCACTTGAGACTGGATAGCTTGTCAAGAAGGTTGTCTGTGGAGAAAACTGATTCTCCCTCTCTGTTTGCATCATTGGTGTGATGCTCCTGTGTATTGTTCTGTATTTTTTTCAATCGTGGAGAAAATGTCTTTGAATACATCTTGATAATCAGGCATGGTCGTAAACATCCATAATCTAGCACTTCAGAGGCTGGGGAAGGATGGTTTCACGAAGCTGCATTGGGCTCCACGGTACGCTCTAGGGCTGCCTGAGCTGTCTATTTATAATCCTGGGTGGTTTTTTGTTTGTTTATTTGTTTGACAAAGGATCTTGATCAGATGTCAGTGCACATAATTAACTGGACATAACTTTTTCATTCGGGTGATTGTACATCAAGTTTGCTGATGATCTCTTTGTGATTGTAAGTTGACCGTCTTTTGTGACCACTAAAACTTGTCTTCCTGTGTTACCTGCCACCCTGATTCTGTCTCAGTTCAGCTGACAAAGTGACCTCTAGTAGACTCAAATTTGATTTGTTACTTTTGTACCCCAAATCCTCCAGATAGCATACCACGCCTTACCATATCTGAATTGCCAAACACAATGATACTTTTTTCTTTTTTATTATTATTATTAAGAAATTTTCTATTCATTTACATACCAACCACAGATCCTCCTCTCTTATTACTTAACTTAACCCATTTCTATTAATCTATATGTTGCCACGTGTCTGTGGCACTGCCTGTCTGCAGGCATCTTGTTGCTCCTTGAGTGGCAGGCTGGTGTCTCTCCTAATCTCCTTTCTTCTCTCTCTTTAGTTGGAATGTCCCGCCTAATCTTACTCTGCCTCACCATTGGCCAAACAGCTTTATTTATCAACCAATCAGAGCAACACGTATTCACAGCATGGCCCTGGCTACTGCCCTCATCAAAGTCATTGCTCACCTGAATGGCTCCTGTGCCCTCTGGATGGCTCTTCCTTCTCTCCTGATCGTTCCCACCACAGTCAAGATCTTAAAAATGTCAGCCGTTATCTTGTCTCTAATTGAAACCATCCCAGCCACAAAACCTCACAACATTGCATTCAAATCCCATTCAAGTCCGTTCATTCAAGCCTTAGGGCTCCCGTGACAGCGGCCTCTGCAATTTCTTCTTCTTTTGTCAATTGGGACCCTGTTGTTTTTACGGTTGCAGCCCAAGTACTCAGACCTCGGCCTCTGTGGTGGCTTCTGATTGATCCTTTTGTTTTGTTTTTGTTTTTTTGTTTTTCGAGACAGGGTTTCTCTGTGTAGTTTTTTAGTGCCTGTCCTGGATCTCGCTCTGTAGACCAGGCTGGCCTCGAATCAGATCCACGTGGCTTTGCCTCCTGAGTGCTGGGATTAAAGGTGTGAGCCACCACCACCTGGCTCCTGATTGATCTTTAAATCAGCATCTCCATCAGTTAGATGTTGTTGTGAAGCACATAGCTACATAGATCTCAGTAGTACACAGCAGAATATGTGTAGGTCAAGTTTGATTCTGGCCCGAAATACATAGAAAGCTCTAGGCCAGCCTCTGCTACATAGCACAACCCCATTCTTTTCTTGTTTAAAAAAGTGTTTTGATCAAGCCCAAACAAGATTGTGAAGAATGGGGTTAAGTTGTCACTGTTCATCCAGCACCGTACCTGTTTGGCTTATCACTGTAGCTTGCCTCAGATTTGCATGTCTTTTGCTTTCATATTCAAGAAAAATATCACACAATCAGTATTTGAAGAAATCTTTGCTGAATCCATGAATCAAGCAATGACCAGATGTGTAAAAATTAAAAGACAAGGGAATGAGCTGGAATAAGAAAGATTAAGTCAATGCAATTCACCTCTCCTGTATTCGCCTAACCTGGCAAATGGTTGCTGTAGGAGCCCGAGGTCACTTCGCCATGTCTTCTGTTTTCCCTTTACGTCTTCAGATCAGAGGACGGGCACGTGCTTCTCTGGCCTGGTGAATGGCCGCTGTGCACAAGAACTTCCGGGCCGGATGGCAAAAGCCCAGTGTTGCTGTGAGCCCGGCCGCTGCTGGGGCATCGGGACCATTCCTGAGGCCTGTCCTGTCAGAGGTTCTGGTGAGTGTCAGGCTGCTGTCACCTCGGCACCAACAGTATTAAGACAGTAACATGGTGAAGTAAAATTTTACCACGTTAAAGAGACAGTAAAGTGCTCTCTGCCCTTCTTGAAGCAAATCATGTGTGTGTTTGGATTGCCGTCACCTTGTAGCTTATCAGTCCTGTAGAATCATTTCTCTCCTTTCTCGTGACCTGAGAATTAATCCCTCTCATATCCTGTGCCTTATCAGTGAGTTTCTATTGCAAAAAAAAATCCCCTTAGGATGAACAAAAAGGTCCTCTTGTTAGATAGAGCACAAATAGGAAAGCATGATTAAGGCTCCACAAATAAATATGTTGACATTTTCTGTTATCTTTTCCGTGTGGAATTCTAAAACTCAAAAATAATTAAAGCTCCTGAAATTTACTTATAAAGGCATATTATATATGCAGTTACAGAGAAAAAAAAATGAGACACATTCTTCATTCCCTCAAAAGCATGAAGCCATAATACATTCCCAAGCTTGATCTCTAATATGCTGCCCTAATTCCGAGAATAATTAGCAAAATAAGGCAGTTACTATAGCCTTGCTTCTTATTCAGTTTTGATACCCACGCAACTAAGTAAAGATTTGAAGGCTACCTGGATACCGTCTAGTGCTAGAATTTATTTTAAAAACACTATTCCGAACCTATCTTAATATATAATTCCTTAAAAATGAAGAAAACAGATACAAATTTGGGCGGCCACAATCCTGATGAGAATTCAAGGAAAACCCAACATGTAGAATGAGTTACCTAAAGCTTCCCACCTGCTCAAGTAAATTTCTTGCAATAACAGTCATGCCTGGAATGTTGTGAGTTATCCTTAGGGTGTAAAGTAAAAAGGTACACACAAAGGGCCCTTTGTGGAAGTTAGTTAAAATAATGAGGAACATGAATTTTAAATATTTTTGAAACACCTATACCTTGTTCTTGTTAATATACAACATTGAAACTATTTAACAAGAAAATAACCTTGTTACTCATATTGTATAGAAAAAGTAAACTAAAAATGATCTATGACAGCTGCTTTTATGATGCAGCAAGAACTCTGTGTTTAACCACGCTCTTTTTTTTTTCTTATAGAGGAATATCGCAGACTGTGCCTGGATGGCCTTCCAATGGGCGGCGTTCCCGGGAGTTCGGTTTCTAGACCTGGAGGCCCTGGGGGCAATGGAAATGGCTATGGCCCAGGAGGAACAGGCTTCCTCCCCATCCCTGGGGGCAATGGCTTTTCTCCTGGTGTTGGGGGAGCTGGTGTAGGTGCAGGGGGACAGGGACCCATCATCACTGGACTAAGTAAGTGCTCACATGTCCTATAGATTCCTGAGTTATCAGCCTCAAGTGATACTACAGTAACAAACGTGTGTGTGTGTGTGTGTGTGTGTGTGTGTGTGTGTGTGTGTGTGTGTGCTTGCACATCTGTGTGTATCTAAAGTACACTAATACTAAATTTAAGAAAATGTGATAGGAAAGCATTTCATCTGTTCTTCAACCCTTTTGATAAATTGGAACAAAAGAATGCATGTGACCTAGGCTCTTTGAAAATACAAATGAGAGTCTAAGACTATCCAGCCTATATGATGTCACTGGAAGCATGTTTTGGATTCTCATTCATCTGGCCTGTTCCAGTGCCCTACTCATATGCTGCTTGGATTATTTTCCAGCACTGTGTTTCAGATGAGATAAAGCCAGCCCTGCACGGAGCCTCTCCAGATAGCCTAATGCACACATCTCTCTTCCCTTATGCTTTGCCATTGTTGTCAAATTACTTGAAATTGAGAAGTGTGGGCTTCAGACCAGAGTTGGCGTCCATTTGCTTGACATTTAAGCTTACTCTTTAAAAGCTCTGTTCTCGATAATAATATTTAATAATGTCCCACGGTGTTATGTTTATTCTTTCTGGCACACTGCCTGTTTGCTACATCTAAATATTCAGCAAGTCACCAAAAAAGAAAAAGAAATGGAGCACTCTCAAATGTATGGTAGAACATTCCTGAAATTTTTTAAAAAAAGACATGAGCAGAGTTTCCAGATGTGTGACTTAACAAGCACAACTTGTGGCCATGTGTCTCAAGTATTTGTTTTTTAAGATCTTCCATATTAAAATTTAATAAAAATGTGAGAGTAACAGAGAATGACTATGAGCAAAGTACACACACACACACACACACACACACACACACACACACACACACATTTCAAACACCCCCAAAATGGAAAATATAATACAATAAAATACAGGGTAATGCAGGCTTCTGATATACACTTAATTAATTTCTATTAAACTTCTAAAAAAATCAGTTCAAGTAGATAATACGTGTTGTGACAGCCAAGTCTGATTACCTCATAATTTTCCATAGCAATTCTCAACCAGACAATAGACATATGTAAGCACCACGCCAACCTGTGTTTGAATGGACGCTGCATACCTACTGTTTCTAGCTACAGATGTGAATGCAACATGGGCTATAAGCAGGATGCAAATGGAGACTGCATAGGTAAGTTCGCAATTCCTTCACCCTTCCTGAGTTTTTCACCTAGCTGCTAGACCGTGAGAACAAATGGAACAGAATGTGATTTTTTTTTTTTTTTAGGTCGTTTGAAGTAAAACTAATTTGTGTGCTGTCTCTCTGGTGTGCATGCCGCTGTCTATATCCCAGGACCCCTTAACTGGTTGTTGACCTAAATCATGTGAAGAATTCCCCGTTCTCTCTTTCCCTAAATATAATTTGACTCTCTTTATAGAGTTGATTATCCTTACTCTGAATTAAGTTTTTAAAAGGAATGCATTTTGAAAACAGCAGTCATCAGTCCTTTGGAAGTGACAGTGCTAACTATAAATTTGCAAATATTTTGGTCCCCGGCTGATATAAACTCTTAAAAAATCCTGGCTATGACTATATGCCTGTAATCGTTAACTAATTCTTCCTCCTCTTCCTTCTTTTAGTTTTTTGAGACAAGGTATGAGTCCTGGTATGTAGACAAACTCTGTAGTCCTGGCTGTCCTAGAACTCACTATGTAGACCAAAATGGCTTCAAACTCCACGCAGATCCACCTGCCTCTGCCTAACATACAGAGGGCTGTGGGGATGACTCAGCAGGTAAAGTGTTAACTGTGTAAGCATGAGAAGTAGAGTTCAGAGGAGTATTGGGCTTGTAACCCCAGCAATGGGGAGGCAGACACAGGAAGATCCCTGAGACCTATTGAACAATGAGTCTAGCCAGTCAGGGATATTCAGTTTCAGGAAGATTTCCTGTCTCCAAAGTAAAAATAATAATAATAAGATGGAGAGTAATTGTGGAAGACAGGGATGTTGTCTTAGTTAGGGTTTCTATTGCTGTGAAGAGACTCCATGACCACGGCAACTCTTATAAAGGAAAACATTTAAATAGGGTTGGCTTACAGAGGTTTAATCCGTCATCATCATCATGGCAGGAAGCATGGTGGCATGCAGGCAGACATGGTCCTAGAGAGGTAGCTAAGAGTTCTAGATCTCGATCTGCAGGCAGTGGGAAGAGAGAGTGACACTGGACCTGGTTTGAGCTTCTAGAACCTCAAAGCCTACCCCTAGTGACACACTTCCTCCCACAAGGCCACATCTCCTAATAGTGCCACTCCCTATGGGCCTGTGGGGGCCATTTTCACTCAAACCACCACAGATGTCAACCTCTGGCTTCTACACACACCTGCACACATGAATGGACACACAAAGAATAGCCATAAATAAAATCTTTGATAATATAATGACAGGAGCTGGACAGATATCTCAGCAGTTTAGAGTACTTCCTACTTTTGCAGAGGGCCTGCATTTGGTGCTCAGCATTCTTGTCAAGGGGCTTCCAGTCTGCCTACAATGCCAGTCCCAGGGGATCTGACACCCTCTTCAGTCCTCCACAACCACTCATATACAGGTGACAGACATTCATACAGACACACACATGCACACACACACACACACACACACACACACACACACACACGCACACACACACATTCACACAGATGCATACACACACGTAATTTAATATAAATATTAAATTTTAAAGCAAATTTAAATTGCAACATAAATAGCCATATCAATGTAAGTACCACATATATAAAAATTATATATTCTAAAATAAATGAAAGTATATTTTCTAAAGTAAAAATGAAAAGCAAGATTCTCTGTGTCTGTATTAGTCAGCTGTGATAAGTTGTTATAGCTGAAAATACAATAAACTCAATTTTAAGTCATACAAATAATTGAGAAAGGAGAGGGATGTCTTGAAGGGTTTTTTTGTTGTTGTTGTTAGATAATTGTGGATCTTTTCTGCTATCCTATTCAAAGCTAGTAAGCAGTAATTCTTAGAGCTTGCCTGCAAAGTGGAAATATCAACAAACTGAGTGCTTTGCTGAGTCCACTGGCCTGTTTTGTATGTTGGGTGAATTTTGAAGTGTACATCAGGTGTAACCAGAAACATAATGGCTATAATGGCTCTCTGTGTTACAAGTTGTTCCATAGTCAAGATATTTCACCATTATTAAAAAAAAAAAACACATTTGATATTATACCTTCAGGCTCATTAGAAACTCTGTTAAATTTTTAAAAATTGGCCATATTTTTTTTTTTAATTTTGCCACTTTAAGCCTGGGATTTTAGCTTTAACATCAACTAGAATTTTTTTTATTTCCTTAAAGGGACAGGGTCTTGTTTTTCTTTGTCAAGAAAATGTCTTACATACTCACACATTTGAAGAGCTGTAATTTTCATGTGAGCTCATCTTCAAGTAACAATAGTATTCTGTGACGAAACATGGCTTACAAAGACTGTTACCGCCATTTGTTTCTGAGACCGTTGTGGTCCTTCAGTCGGCAAAGGTGTGTCATAGGTGTTACTTTCCTCAGAGATTTTTAGCAAGTGTACTCACAGCTCAGGATTTAGTGTGGTCAGTTTTGACTGTCACAAATGATGCTCTTTGTTCAGCATGGCTTGTCTTTGCTCTACTGCGCTGTGTGTCCTTGGCAATGTGGCTTTCATTTGAGCTCAGGCATAAGCATTGCTTTGCCCTGTCACTGAAAATGCCCACACAGTGAAGAAGGCAGTGGCATCTTCAAGTTATTGTGCAAAAACTTTTTCATCATGATCCTGAAATCTCAGTGGCTTCCAGGAGCCCTTACACTAGATTTTGACAGTGGTTATTATAGAGAATCCTCAACTTGGTCCTGAGCCATGTATGAACTCAGAGATCATTCTCTCTCTCTCTCTCTCTCTCTCTCTCTCTCTCTCTCTCTCTCTCTCACACACACACACACACTGCCACAATATATGAAC